ACATGGGTGTGCGGGACGAATGCGGGCACACCCACTGAGACCTTCGGTGGAGCTCCCTATGGGGCCACGAAGCGTGTGAGGGGTGTGCCGAAATGGGTGTGCGGGACGCATGCGGGCACACCCACTGGGAGCTTCGGTGGAGCTCCCTATGGGGCCACGAAACGTGTGAAGGGTGTGCCAAAATGGGTGTGCGGGACGCATGCGGGCACACCCACTGGGACCTTCGGTGGAGCTCCCTGGGGCCACGAAACGTGTGAGGGGTGTGCCGAAATGTGTGTGCGGGACGCATGCGGGCACACCCACTGGGACCTTCGGTGGAGCCCCCTTATGGGGCCACGAAACGTGTGAGGGGTGGGGCGAAATGGGTGTGCGGGACGCATGCGGGCACACCCACTGGGACCTTCGGTGGAGCTCCCTATGGGGCCACGAAACTGAGGGGTGTGCCGAAATGGGTGATGACGATGATGATGGTGGGAGGAGGAGGAGGAGGAGGAGGAGGAGGAGGAGGAGGAGAAGGAGGAGGAGGAGGAGGAGGAGAGGAGGAGAGGAGAGGAGGAGAGGAGAGGAGGAGGAGAGGAGACGCGGGCCACCGTCTCTTCAAAACGAGGACCCAACACCACAGGATGGTTGGGAAAAATCTGGAATACCATTTTGGGGGGGGGGCAACACAACAACAAAACTCCTGGAGAAACGGGGGAGAAGGAGAATGAGGAGAAGGAGGAGGAAGAGAAGGAGGAAAAGAGGCCAATGGGGGGGAGTGGGGAGAAGGAGGAGGACGACGACGACACAGAGCGCGCAGAGATTGCACAGAAGCAGTCGCGAACTCAGCGCGAAAGCCTCGCGCGCGCGCGCTTTTGAACCCCTGCGACTCCACAATCCCCCGTTCTCTCCTCCTCCGCTCCGCGCTCCTCCGGGCACCCAGACAGCTCGCGAAGCTGCAGCGGTGCATTCTGCGGACCCACTTGGCATGGGGCAATGAAAACGCAGGACCGCTGGCATGGGGCAAAGAAAACGCAGGCGCCATCACGGAGGAGACTCTCTGGAGGCGCGCCCGCGCCGCGCCGGCAGCTGGCGCCGCCGACGCCGCTGGGCCCGAGCCCGAAGGCGCCGGAGGCACCCTGCCAGCGCCTCCCAGCTTGACCCGAGTGTGCCAGCTGCGCGGAGCCGAGGTGGAGACCACTCAGCACAGCGTGGAGCGCTGCACCCACCCAGCCATGGTGGCTGCCAGGGAGGAAAGGACCACCCCGGAGCTCCGTGAGCTCGGTCACTCACTCGCTGCCCGCCTGCACGCGGCTGTGCGGCCTCGCGGTGGAGGACCCGCGAGGCGAAGAAGAGAGGCTCGCGCTGACGCCCGTGCAGGGCCACGGCGAGCCGCCACGATGCCTCGACACCGACGACGCCGTGGAGATCTTCACCACGGACGGCGTCCTGATCGCAGCTGGGGACGGCGCTTGCCATCATCAACACCTCCCTCTTGCCCGGGGTGCAGGCTCTGGGGCCTCTCATGGCCGGGGCCACAGCGCCAACTTTGGCCTCCCTCTGGGTGGCTTCGGGACCACTCAGAGAGCAGAAGCTGCTGCTTGTGGTCGAGTGCTGGCGCAGAGCAGGCTACCCACAGAGCACTGGACGGACCGCGACCTCGTGTTCTTGGGCTTCGAGCGCCTGTCGGCCAGACTCCCTCCCTCCTCTGAACACTGCGACCTTTGGGCCAACATCACTACGGCCTTCCATGCAAAGGGAAGTCTTGACCACTTTCGAATGCGCAAGGTGCGTGGTCACGACCAGGACTGGGAGCCCGAAAACCCTAAGAACCCCACCGACGAAGAACGGCAGCGCATGCTCGTATCCCTCATGAATGCTGGGGCCGACCGGCGTGCCGTCGCGGGCTCCGACCGGCACGCGCCCTGCGACGACCTGGTCCGCAGGGTGGCCGTCCGCGCCAGCGCGACCCCGGCCATACAACGGCGTGCTGTGGCCATGCTGGAGACCCGGGGGATGCTGCTGGAAGAGGCCAGCTGCACGCCACACCTGCACATGCAATCTTGGCAGCAGGCCCTGGCCGGGGACCAGCCTCAGGCGGATCAGCAGCCAGACGCGGGAGACGGCCAAGCCCCACCAGGAGCCGGAGCTGGCGGGCAAGAGGCGCATCCCGGCCTTGAGACCGCCCAGTTGCAGCAGAATCACTTTCCAGAGTACCCTTGGGAGCCGACCCCTTTGGTTGGGCGCACCCGCCAGGACCCAATCCAGTCGATGCCAGCGCTGCTCAACAGGTCACCTCTGAAGTCAGGCATTGGCATCGACGCCCACTGGAGGTACCCTGACGCGATGCTTCTCTCTATGCATTGGTATTCGTCTACTCTGCAGTTCCCCGTGTCTCCACAGCCAGGCGACGTCGGCGCAACCGGCTGCCAAACGATCAACCGGCTGCCAAACGACATCGTGAACAGCCGTACCGTCCAGATCTTCCAAAAGAAGCTACAGCATAGAGCAAAGTCTTCGGCCGGCCAGCCGGGCTGGCAGGAGATGTTCCGCGCAGGTTTGTACATATGAACTTGTTTATCATTGTTGAGTTGTTGTGAGGGCTTGTCGTAGAAAAAAACATTCATCGAGCTGGCCCTTGATTGCATGTACGCGACTCACGCGGTCCCAAAGGGGGCCAACTTCGCCGGGGCACCCGAGGCGCACTGGCTCCAGGAGTGCTTTGCGTCTGCTGCTCGGCATGGCTCTGCTGCTCCCAGCGCCTCACCGTCCGTCTCATGATGGGCATGTTTTCCACCACCACCAGAAGTTGGAGGGGGAGGAGGTCCTCCTCCTTCTCCTTTAAGTCTTCTTCTTCTCATTATTAGTATTATTATCATTAGTATTATTATTAGTATGATTATTAGTAAGATTATTATTATTACTACTATTATTATTATTCGTCTTATTAGTCTTATTCTTCTCCTCAGTATCATTAGTATTGGTTTCAATATTAGTAGTATTACGCTTATTAATAGTATGTCTTATTATTATTATTATTCCTCCTCCTCCTCCTCCTCCTCCTCCTCCTCCTCCTCCTCTTCGTCCTCCTCCTCCTCCTCGTCCTCCACCTCCTCCCCCCTCCAACTTATGGTGGTGGTAGAAAACGGGCCCATCATCTCAAGTCAGGCGGCTGGTGCTCTCCGAACCGGAGGGTGCTGGCAGCGCGGCGGCTGGAGCCGCCCTGACCTCCACGACGCACCAGTGCGGCCCCATTTGCTGTGCCCGCAGCACGTGGGAACGGCCCGCACACTGCTAGGCTCAACGGCAGCAGCCGCACGCAGCTCAAGCAGCTGCCGCAGCTAACCGTCGGCAGCCTCCCCGTGGAGTCCCGAGACGGTGCGGTGACAGACCGTGCGGTGACCCCGAAATCCCCCAAGACCTGACCGCACGGTCCGTCAACCCACGGTCTTGGGACCTCGGATGCCCCAGTCGCCCGAGACGTCCTCGGAGAACGACCCGAGTCCCAAAACCGTGCGGTGATCCCGAATCCCCACCGACTCACCACACGGTGTGGTCACCACCCCGTTTGGAGGCCCCGGGCTCCCGCACTCTCTGTGGTCCCCTCCGGGATCCGACGGGCTGGCCGAGCAGCCCCTGCAAGGGAAAGCGCGAGGCACTGCGCCTGCCATGCCCAGGCGCCGTGGCCCCAGGCAAGGCGTCACTTTCGCAGAGCTGCCCCAGGTCACGCGGACACCTGAAGAGCAGCAGGCCGCTGCGACTGTGACGCAACAGAATAAACGGCACAGATCGGCCGAGATGAAGAGATTTCTTCACAGCAGGACGGCGTCGGCTGAGAAGCACCACCTCGTCCTTCCTTTCGGTGACCGCCAGTGTCTGTGTCTCCGCTGTGAACACTGCACCAGGGCCGTCGGCATCCACTCGTTCACGCCTTTCCTGAAGGAATGATGTTATGGCCGAGAGGCGCCACACGTTGACCGCCAGGCCCAACTCATGCGGGCCAAGCGGGAAGATCGAACAGGCCGAGGCCCAGGAGAAGCACAATCTGGGTACTGAGCTCCACCGTGACCAGGAGATCCTGAAGTGCTCTCTTTGCAAAGAGTTCTCAATTCTTGACAGCCAGGCTGTGATCTGGCACACGACAGGTGATCAATGTCTTCTGCTGATTCCCGCGGCTGCGCGGACGAGACCCCTTGCGAACCGCCAGACCAGATATGCCCAGATGAGCGCCCACGGCGTTGAGCCGCTGGCCGGCGGCAGTCGCACAGCATGAGTCTGATGGCCGGAAGGTGCCAAGAAGCACCGCATAGCACAGCATGATTCTGACGGCTGGGCTCCGCCTGGCAGTGGCGTGTGTCATTCACTCTTCACTTGGGCAGATTCGAGCTGTTGTATAATTGGCAGTGGCAGTGGCAGTATCATTTCACTCTTCACTTGGGCGCGTGCTCCTCTTCATCGCGTGCGACACTTCCACCACAATGCTCGGTAAGCGGATGGCTTCTGACAGGCTTCGGCCTCCTCTGTGGGCCCTCACCAGGCCCCATGGGACTGCGAAACAACAGCTCGAGGAGAAGAACCGGCCCTGGGGAAGGGGTCGGGACTTCCGGGGACCCCGCACTGAAAAGAGCGGGGCGCCGCGCTGCGGAGAGCCACGACGCTGGAGTTCTGGGAAAGGCCGGCCTTTGGTGCGCGGCTTTTGGGGGGCGAGCAGGTGGAGGGGGGAAGGGCTAGGTCGAGCATGTCATCCTACAGGCGGATTTGGGGCGAAAAATAAAGCATGGTCAAACAATACCTTCACATAGTCTACAATATTCAAAAAAAGTCCCCTCTGAGTATTTTTAAAACTATCTTTGAAAATCCCTCCTGTTGAGGGACACGCCCAACTTAAGGGAAAGGGGGGTGGGCAGACTCAAGCGCGGAGGCCGCCGCTGTCGCATCGCACCCAGCGAACCCGTGGGACAGCAGCGGGGCCCGCGCGAGAGGTCGCTCCAGCAGAGGGTCACTCTTGCGCGTGGCCGCTCCTCGAGCTCCTTCGCCCGCTCTTCGAGGGTCTGCTCCAGTTTGTCGATCTGCCGCTCCTCTCGGATCGGGGACGGGAGGGGGAGGGCGGTAGAGGAGGGGCTTTACCAAACCAGCTCCTCAGCGTCTGGTTCCTCACTCGGCCGTTGACGCCTCCCGATCCCCAGACCACCTCGAGTCATGAAAAAAACGACGAAGTGTTTCGGTATTTTTTGCCTCTGGAGGGGCCTCGGGATCGTCAGGAAACGACTCGGGATGAAAGGCCGGCCCTGGGAAACGGGTCGAGACCTCGGGGGGTCGACGGCATGAAGAGACCATGACGTCGGGGGCCTGGGTCACGTGATCTGATCGCAGCCCCGAAGCCAATCGCGTGATCAGCAGACACCGAGAGCATCCCACGTGGCTGACCTCCCCAAGCGCCCCCCGGCGCGGAAGGCGCCCATGCAGCGATGCAGAGCACCCGGAGGTGGGGCTGAGACCAGCTGCACGCAGCAGATTTCACGGCCATCCCTGTCCCTGTCACCTCCACCCTCCCCTTTCGCCTGACCAGGCCCCACGCCAAATCCATCCCCTGGTCCCTCCCGGGGCTTCGTGCTAGTCTGCTGTCCGACCTGCGGCCCGCCGTGGCGACGAGCCTCCAGAAGCTCCATGGACACACCCGAGGCGACGCCGAACCTCGAACACCTCTCTCCAGAGGGTTCCAGAGGGGGTTTGGGGGGAGGGGGTTTTCCAGAGAGCCCCCCAGGGGCCCCAGAACCTCGTCAAAACAGGGGGTGCGAAGCCCCTGGGGGACCCCTCCTGGCAACCCCCCCCCCCCAAAAAAAAAAACCCGTTGGAGCCCTCTGGTCTCTTTCCCAGTTCCCCACCCCCCACTTTGCACGACCCTGCTCCTTCAGCCGGACCTTTTCCTCCTTGGCCTTCAGGGCCTCCTCGCGCGACTCGCGCAGCACCCGCTCCCGCTCGCGCAGCTCGCCGTCGCCGGCCTCGCCCTCGCCCTTCCAGGACCTGGGCGCCGCGCCCCGGGCCGGCTGCGTCGCCTCCGCCGCCTCTGGAAGATCAAGAAAGGTGTACAGGAGAGCACACCAGGGAGCTGGAAGCGCACACGCTTTGACTCCGTGTGCTTTCACAGCTACCAGGAAGCTGCCGCTGGCTGCCTCCTCCTCCTCCTCCTGCTCCTCCTCCTCCTCCTCCTGCTGCTCCTCCTCCTGCTGCTCCTCCTCCTCCTGCTCCTCCTCCTCCTCCTGCTCCTCCTCTTTCTCCTCCTCCTGCTCCTCCTCGTCTTCATCCTCCTCCTCGTCCTCCTCTTCCTCCTCCTCCTCCTCCCCTCCTCCTCCTCCTCCTCCTCCTCCTCCTCCTCCTCCTCCTCCTCCTCCTCCTCCTCCCCCTCCTCCTGCTCCTCCTCCTCCTCCTCCTCCTCCCCCGCCTGCTCTCCCTCCTCGCCCTCATCCCCTCCCAGGCTGGCTTTCTCTCTGAAGTCTCATTATTTCCAGTGGGGTAACAGGCAAATGCCATCATCCTGGGAGCTGTTTGGCTTGCTCGTTTTGGCTGGGCTCCGATGTGACACATGTGGAGGGCGTGTGCTGGATAAGCATGAGGAAGCCCGGCGTACACGGCCATGAAAGGGCCGAGCGCTGGAAAGACATCTGGCCACATGTGTATCCAACTCTCGCACAGGCCAGCCGCGTTGTGTGTAGTGTGTGGTGTGTGAATGTGAATGTGAATGTGACTGTGACTGTGACTGAGACTGTGACTGTGAATGTGAATGTGAATATGACTGCGAATGCGAATGCGAATGCGAATGTGAATGTGAATGTGAATGTGAATGTGAACGTGAATGTGAATGTGAATGTAAATGTGAATGTGTGTGTGCGTGTATGTGTATGCGTGTGTAAGTGTGTGTAAGTTTGTGTGCGTGTGTGTGTGCGTGTGTGCGTGTGCGTGCGTGCGTGCGTGCGTACGTGTGTCTGTGTGTGTGCGTGTTTGTGTGTATGTGTGTGTGTCTGTGTGTAATGTGTGTGTGTGTGTGTCTGTGTGTGTCTGTGTGTGCCTGTGTGTGCCTGTGTGTCTGTCTGTGTGTTTGTTTGTGTGTCTGTGTCTGTTTCTGTGTGTGCTTGTGTGTGTGTGTCTTTGTGTCTGCCTGTGTGTGTCTGTGTGTGTCTGTGTGTAGTTGTGTGTCTGTGTGTGCCTGTGTGTCTGTGTGTGTCTGTGTGTGTCTCTGTATGTTTCTGTGTGTGTCTGTGTGTGTCTCTGTGTGTGGCTGTGTGTGTGTCTGTGTTTCTGTCTGTCTGCGTGTGTGACTGTCGGTCTGTGTGTCTGTCCGTCTGTCTGTGTGTCTGTCTGTATGTGTCTGGCTGTGTGTGTGTGTCCGCGTGTCTGTCTGTGTATATGTCTGTGTGTCTGACTGTGCGTCTGTCTGTGTCTGTCTATATGCCTCCCTGTGTGGCGGTCAGTGTATATAGTGTATATATGTGTGTGTGTGTCTGCCTGTGTGTCTGCCTGTGTGTCGGTCTGTGTGTCTGTGTGCCTGTCTGTATGTGTCTGTGTTTGTCTGTGTGTCTGTCTGTGTATGTCTGTGTGTCTGTCGGCGTGTCTGTGTGTGACTGTCTCTGTGTCTGTCTGTGCGTCTGTCTGTATATCTGTCTGTGTGTCTGTCGGTGTGTCTGTCTGTGTCTGTCTGTGTGTGTCTGTATGATGTCTGTATGTGTTCGTCTGTGAGTCTGGCTGTGTGTCTGTCTGTGTGCTTGTCTGTGTGTGTCTGTGTGTCTGTCTGCGTATTTGTCTGTGTGTCTGTCTGTCTGTGTGTCTGTCTCCATGTCTGCCTGTGTGGTCCCTTGGTCTCTGTAAGTCTGCGGCTCTGTGTCTCTGTGACTCTGTGTCTCTGTGTCTCTGTGGCTCTGCGGCTATGTGCCTCTGTGTCTCTGTGTCTCTGTGGCTCTGTGTCTCTGTGTCTCTGGCTCGCTGTGACCCTGTGTCTTTGGGTACATGTGTCTCTTCGGCTCTGTGTCTCTGTGTTTCTGTGCCGTTGTGTGTCTATGTGTCGGTGAGTTTCTGCCTTTTGTGTCTCTGTGTCTGTGTGACTCTATGTCTCTGTGTTTCTCCGTGTCTCTGTGTCTCTGTATGTATATATGTGTATCTGTGTCTCTGTGTCTGTGTGTCGCTGTGTCTCTGTCGTTGTGTCTCTGTGTGCCTCTGTGTGTCTCTGTGTCTCTGTGTCTCTCTGTGTCCCTCTGTGTCTCTCTCTGTGCCTCTGTGTGTCTCTGTGTGTCGCTGTGTGTCTCTCTGTGTGTCGTTGTGTGCGTCTTTGTGTGTGTGTGTCCCTATGTGTTTATGCGTGTCTATGTGTGTCTCTGTGTGTCTCTGTGTGTGCCTTTGTGTGCCTGTGTGTCTCTGTGTGTCTCTGTGCGTGTCTGTGTGTCTTTGTGTATGCCTTTGTGTGTCTCTGTGTGGCTCTGTGTGTCTGTGTCTCTGTGTGCCTATGTGTGTCCCTGTGTGTCTCTGTGTGTCTTTGTGTGCCTGTGTGTCTCTGTGTGTATATGTGTGTCGCTGTGTGTCTCTGTGTGTCTCTGTGTGTCTCTGTGTGTCTCTATGTGACTCTGTGTGTCTCTGTGTGTCTCTACATGTCTCTGTGTGTCTCTGTGTGTCTCTGTGTGTCTCTGTGTGTCTCTACGTGTCGCTGTGTGCCTCCGTGTATGCCTGTGTGTGTCTCTGTGTGTCTCTGTGTGTCTGTGTCTATGTGTGTCTCTGTGTGTCTCTGTGTGTTTCTGTGTGTATCTATGTATCTCTGTGTGCCTCTGTGTGTGCCTGTGTGTGTGTCTCTCTGTGTCTTTGTGTGTCCCTGTGTCTTTGTGTGTGTGTCTCTGTGTGCCTCTGCGTGCATATGTGTGTCTCTGTGTGTGTCTGTGTGTCTCTGTGTGTCTCTGTGTGTCTCTGTGTGTCTCTGTGTGCCTCTGTGTGTCTCTGTGTGTCTCTGTGTGTCTCTGCGTGTGTCTGTGTGTCTCTATGTGTCTCTGTGTGTCTGTGAGTGTATCTCTGTGTGTCTCTGTGTGCCTCTGTATGTCTTTGTGTGTCTCTATGTGTCTCCGTCTCTGTGTGTCTCTGTGTGTCTCTGCGTGTCTCTGCGTGTCCCTGCGTGTCGCTCAGCGAGGGAACCGCGTTCGACTCACCAGCTTGGACCTAGGAGCCACGAAAGTCCCCGCAAGGCCACGCGGGCCGGGAGCTCTTGGGGCCTGCCGAGACAAGAGAGCTCACCGTGATAGCAAGATCACCCCGTGGCCATCAGGCTGAAGCGCTGCAACAGCACAAAGTCGAGCGCCTTCAGCGACCCCCAGATCGCCCCAAACAAACAGTGCGGAGCAGGAAGACATAGCCGAGGAGAGCCTCTGATCGCTCGCCCCCGCCCAGCCCAGGGGGGGTGCCCCGTGGTTGGGTGGAGACCTGCAATTAAGCTGTCTCTCCCGTGCGCTCGCACCTTCTCTGCCTGGGACATACACAGGTGCGCGGCGGGCAAGACCCCCGTGCAGCTGGAACCCAGCAAACGGCCCCTGTTCTTAGCACGCGCCCCACAGCGCCTGCAAACAGTGAAAGGTGGGCGCAGCACGAGCCGATGCCCCAGGTACTCGCTAACCTCGTCGGGCCTCGCTCTCTCTGAGGTCCGACCGCCTGCTTTTGCGATCTCCTCTCGGCCCTCTGCGGCAGGGCGGGGCGCTGCGGGCACAGGGGCGGGCGCGGCAACGCAAGAGCGCTGGCGGTACTCCCGTTCCTACCCCTCGCCTCATTGGGCTGCGGGCATGTCGCGGGCTGCTCGCCAGCCTTGACAGACGGCCCGCGCGCGGCGTCAGGCGGCTGAGCGGCGGCGCTCAACAGGCGCGCTACCTTCTCGCGTCTAAGATCCACCCCCCCCCGTCCCCCGACCGCGACGACGACGACTGACCCCCGACCTCCTCCAAGATTTGACCATCCAGGCCTTTTCTCGCGCCTAGGAGACCTGCTGCCAACGCGTTCCTGCTCCTGCGACAGGCAAGCAATGCCCTCGCGCCTTCCCGAAGCAGCATAAGTTGCAGCAAAAGCCAAGCCAACCTGGAGCACCGATTCCCGCGGCAGACTAGCTTGGCTTGGCTCGCGCCAGCCCCTCTCTGATCGGTGGCCCCGAAGGGCCAGCGCTCGAGCCTCGGCGATGGCCGCGGGTTTGCAGGGTCGACCCAAAAGCCCTCTGATCGTGACTTCTGCGAAAGCAGCTCGGCTGCACAACCTGCAGCGGATGCCGTGTCGATCAGCCACAACATCGTGCGCACTGAACGAAAGCTCGGGGGTCTTGGGCGGCGGTTTGGGCGCTCCGGGCTCTCCTACTGAGGCAGACCACCGAGGGGGACTTGGAACGCGCGCGCCAGCCCAGGCCACGCGCGCCCAACAGCTTCGGCGATACGACCCTGGAGACCCCCGCCGAAATCCCTACTAAAAGTGGCCACGCACAAGGCCACAGTGGCGAAAAAAAACACCCAAGCATTCCCCGGGCAAGACGCCCCACCAACGCCCCGATGAGTCGCTTCCTCGGGCGTTTTGCGGGACGGGGCCCAAACACATTGGGGCGGGAGACGGCCATGATGCTCGACCTGGGCCCGAATCGCCCTCCAGATTTCAGCGCGCATGGCCGCGGCTGCCGCTTCTCTCTCGCTCCACCGAGCTCCCTCTCGCACAAAGGACAGATGATCGCCCACAATGCGGTTCACATGCGGAGAGGCCGAGACAGCATGTAAACCCGCGCATCGGGCAGCCCGCGGCACCGACTGAATCCCAGCGAGGCATTCAGCATCGAGCTGCACAATCGCACAAGCGCGCCGAGCGACTCCGGGGGCGCCCATGCTTTGGCCAGCCTCATCCGCGTAGACCGTGCACCCCCAAGGGACATTCGGATCCCCCCACTCGAAAGTTTACTCAGGGGTCCTTTCAGAGCGCTAAGAAGCAGACAGGATGAGCGGCAACGCGTACGCGTGCTGAACATAAGAAGAGAAAGACGGCTCAGGCGAGCAGAGCGCCTCATGACGCATCA